CAGTGAATAAGGGCCTCTACTTAGAGTATTCGGGAGTCTTATCCAGTGACCATTTGTCCTGAGGGTTTGTGACATCTTGTGCTATATGGAGCCCCCGACACCTCGACATCACATGTATTGCTTAAATCAGAGTGTGAGCTGGCAGTCGAGGGGCTGAAGCTATCCTGTGGGTGGATCTGTTTTGTTTTGGTTCACGGGTTTTATAGTTAAAAACCAGAATTATTTACTGGCGTTAAAAATTGCAAAGTTTGGAGCCAGCAGGGGGTGCGGTGGTTAAGGTGCCGGATTCCCACACGGCTGATCGCCATTTGAGTGCTGGACCTGGAGGCTTTCTTTCCTACTTTCCCTTTCTCTCTCTCTCGTCAAATTAAATAATAATGATGATAATAAATGAACTAAAGTAATTCTGTAAAACAAAAAAAAAGCAGTTTGGGGGGTGGCCCTGTAGCCTAGTGGTTAAGGGAACTGGATCTCATATGGCCAATCGTGGTTCAAGTCCTGGTCCCAGTGGCTTGAAAATCATGCTTGCCCCAAGTCCCAATGGGATGAAGAAATGGCGGAGAAGGGGTTGTGGCGTGACCACGCTCCATAGCAGGTGCTTTCTCCTTCCCTGCCTTTCTCTGGTGAGTACACATGTGCTCTGGAAATTAAAAGAAGATTGAGAAGTTTGAGCCTGAGCCAGGCAGTAGCACAGTGATAAGGCAACTGCATCCACACGGGAGAAACCCCGAGGTGGTGTCCAGGACCTCCCTGAGCGCTCTAGGTGTGCGATGCCCACGGGCTGGCTGGCCGAGTGTGGAGGGGGGTCGCAGGCTGAGGGTCTCATTGCGGGGGTGCCTCTCTCTCTCAAATTAAAAATTGTGAAGTTTACAGATTCCCAGTTCCTTTGGAAAGCTGGGAAGGGCCGACAATCGCATTCCCACTTGGCAGCGACCGCTGACCTGAGCGGAGGGTCCTCCCCAGCCCTGGCAGGGGATACGCTCCTTCCCGTGACCTGCCTGTCCCTGGAGACTCAGGTTTGCGACCCTGTGCCCTCCCTGGCCTAGCAAACATGCCAGCATTCCAGGAATGCTCGGGCCCATGGCAAAGGCACAAAGAATGAGGTCTAACCATCAAGCTCTGGCGCGTAGCAGGATAACCTACGGAAATCAAAGCTGCGTCTGTCCACACAGCCCTCCCCGTGGGTGGCTCACAGCCTGGACCTCCTTGCCTAGAAGACTGAGGTGAGGCAGAGGTCAAAGCAGTCTGAGAAGACTGACCTGTTCAGGAAACCTGTACAGGCCACTGAAGGAGTGGGGTGCCCAGGAGAGGGAGTGGACAAGGGAGAGAGCCTTACAGAGAGGGAGAGGGCAGTGAGGAGGGCTCACGCCTGCCTAGGGAAGGCAGAGGGGATTGGGAGGGCCTCCAGAGGATCAGGGCCCACCCACCACTCAACAGCAGCCTCCTGGAGGTGGCCACGTGGTGGGCTGGCCTGAGAGAAAGGACTCTGCCCCGGCACTCACCAGCGAAGACCAGGAGGAGCGCTGCTGAGCTCCAAGGGCACGCCAGCCTGACAACCACTGTGACCGGGTCGGTCTGCCCTCAGGAGCCTTGGGGTTCCTGACACGATCTGGCTGAGACTGGCATAGTGATTAGGGTGGCTGGATCCACATGGTCAACTATGTGGTTCAAGTCCCAGGCTTGTAAAAACACACCAGGCGCATGTACGTCCGAGCCCCAAATCCCAAGATGTGAATGAGGAAAAGGGATTGTGGTGTGACCATCCCCCTGGGGGGCATGCTTTCTCACTTTCTCCCTCTCTTTGGAGAGCTGGCATGCCTTATACCAACAACAAGCAAACTGGCCGAGAAGAAAAGGTGTGAAGTTCTGACACCTGCTGCAGTGTGGATGACCAGTGGGAACACTGCTCAGCGGAAGGAGCCAGGCTCGAGAAGACACTTGCCACACGTCACAGGACTCCAGCTGTATAAAAGGTCCAGGGCAGGCAAATCCAGGGGATGGGAAGTACAGCGTGCCTGCGGGGGCTGGGGCAATGACAGGGGGCGAGATTCCCTTTGGGGTATGAGATGTTCTGGAACAAATCCTCTGGAACACCATAACTACACTAAAAGGCACTGATTGTGGACGTCTCAGGGGTCGAGATGGTGGGTTTTATGCTATGTCAATTTTGTCTAAATGAAAAAGATGGAATTTTCTTTCACTCCAGGGGGATGATGACCTGAAGTTACAATTCAGTTATCTAAACAAAGAAAAGGAGATGCCATATTTTTCATGCTCTGAGTTGTGGGCAGGATTCATATCTATCACCCTCAGAAAAGGAGGATGAATCCGTCCCCGAGGCACAAAGGGGGAGCTCAGGTCTACCTGGATAGAGCCGTTTAGGGATGAGGACTGCAGTTTATCAGAAAGCAGTAAAAACACTGCCCCCAGGGACTGGACCGAGGGAATGGAGGGACTGGCCAGGCTGCCTCCTGAGCATTCCCAGGCTTCTACTTCTGTGGTCCTGATTTTGAGCGAATGCCCCTTTAAGCCTCCTTAACAGTATGCTATCCCTTCACGGGGGTTCCCTGGGGCATTTCAGGTCCAGTGCAAGAAGTTATTAATCTGAAGGGGATTTGATAGCAAAGGTTTAGAACTGCTACAGCCTCCGGGACAAACCTGGGCTCGAGAAGTACACAGACACCCCTGCTTGCTCCTGGGAATACAGCTGATGCAGCCCCCCAAAGAGGGCTGTCTTTAAACAAAATCAAAACTCTTCGCTCTGGGGCCAACAGGTGCCATGGTGGTTAAGGTGTTGGGCTCCCACATAGCTGACTGCAGTTGAAGTCTCGGACCTAATGGCTTGAAACTCACACCGGGCGCACGTGTGTGTGTGCCCAACATCCCTAGAGTAGAATGGAAGAGAAGGGATTGAGTATGGCCATTCGCCTGGGGGGGGGGGTGATTTCTCACTTTTCTTCTCTTTGTCCCTGTCTTTCTCTCTCTCTGACCAGCACATAAGCCCTAGAGCAAAAACCTAAAAAATAAAGACAAAAAAGCCCTGTGTTCTCTTACATCTAGGCAACAGGGGTCTGGGTGGGTTTTGTCTTTTTTTGGAGAGATTTTTGCTATAGGGCACATGCACTTTCCAGAGAGACAGAGAGAGACAGAGACAGAAAGCAAGAAACCACCCCCCCAGGGGGGTGGCCACACCACAATCCCTCCTCCTTGGCTTCTCCATGGGTGGAGGAGGAAGTATGTTCCAGGCAGAGGGGAGAGGAGGTCAAAAGCCCAGAGACGATGTGGTCCAGTATGTCTGACAGCAGGAAAGGGATGGAGAATGAGCCAGAGTCAGGGGCAGGGCTGGGCCATGAAGACCCAGTAGCCTTGTAAAAAGTTGGACTTAGTTCAGTGGCAAAGGGAGCCCTGAGAGGTGGTCAGGTTTGCCCCTTTGGTGCTGAGAGAAGCGACTGGACTGGAGGAGCAAGAGTGGAGGTTGCTGCTGCAGGGGGAGTTGAGGACTGCAGACTGACAGCTAGGAAACGGGGACTGGGACTGGGGTGGGGTTAGGGAGTCAGGGCTGGAGGCCCACTCTGTTGGTGACAGGTCAGGAGAGCCAAGTGCAGAGGCCAGCGAAGGCCTTGGAGGGAGCCGTGGAGGGAGCCGTGGCCTGGGGCCAGACCCGGGACCACCACACACCTGCAGGGCCGGCCCTCGGAAACGCCCCGACGACGTTCAGCTCCAATTCCCTAAACCTGGGCGGTGTCAGCTAAGTCGAAGTCCTGGCCCGAGAAGATGCCCAGGAAGCGCTGCGCGTTTCCACGGACCTTTGGCCTCTGCCTACATGCGGGGCGTCTCTCTCCTACGGCAGGGTCCGGGGGCCACCGCCCAGCCCTCGCCCCTGTGCTCCGGCTCGGGCGGTCCAG